GTATTCCTGAAGAATAAGTGCATTAATCAACAGTTGCATTAATTAATGATTGCATAAAATACACATCTAGATGTGTATAAGAGACAGGTATCATTTTGTTTATGTCCGTCCGATACGTTTGTTATTTGTTTGAGAAATGTCAGCCAGCCAAAACCAACAATTACATTCATTAATGAGTGCATAAAACTGCTTACTGCATTAATTAAAACAGCCTAAAAAAAATATTGCATTAAATCATGCAAAAACTACATGATGTATTAATCAAAAACAAATCTAAACCAAGAACTACATTAACTAATGAATGCATAAAAGTCCTTACTTTTATTCAACAAAAATATCCAATACCAACAATTATATTATTACTGATTACGGATCGCCGGAACCATTTTTCTTGCCTACAGTACGGAATACTAATTATCGTTTTCTGTTGATGTCTACGCTAAATTCAATGTACTTTACATGTAAGAAAATAATGTATGCTTGCTTCGTAAAATGGAAATGATTTATTTACGAGTTATAGTGTTGAAATATTGAACGAGAATTTACCCAACTAACCCGTAACTTAACCCTAACGTTCCCTAGCTTTTCACCGAATTTAATAAAAAAAAAAATACTACCAGAAACATGCTAATTTTCACTTTCTGCTGATGTCTAAACTAACACACATTTACTTTTTTATGTCCATAAATGAGTTCGAGTTTCGCATCTTTAAAAGTAAAAAGTATATTTTGAGGTAATTGGTTGAAATTTTGTGATTAAAAATTTAATTTTAGGTGTAATCAATTACAACAGACCCTTAACAGACACTTCTCTGCTGCTCCATCCACGTGTACATGGCCGCGTCTACTTTATCGAAGATTGGTGTTTTCACATACGAAGATTTTCTTGCTTTAGCAGGGTTTTCGTTTGTTGAAATGTGTCTTTGTATTTTCTATCTGTTTTTGCATATGGTCGCTACCGTAGACTTCGAAAGTCCAAAACGTTTTCCAATCGCTGAATTGGACTCGTGGTTCTCATAGGCTTTTATTGCGCTTAGTTTCGTATCAATGGAAATACACTGTCTTGGTCTTTTCGAGGCAGAAGCCATTGTTGAAATGTACATTACATTTCACGTAATTATGTTTCAATCAATTAATTAAACAATCAGGTATATGCTCCTCCCATGCTCCCTACCTACCAATGAAAAGGTGTCATTTAAAATAATACGTAAAAATGATTCATTTAAATTGCATATATTTTCTGTCATTTCTTATCTAAACCCTATTCATTGTTTACAAAGTTCATAAGCGTAAACCATTTCATTCCCAGACGGTGTCCTGTAAAGTTTGACAACCACAGCTATGCGCTCCTTTGATGTTAACCGACTGTTGCTATTAACGATGACAGCGGTCTAATGTCGTCTCTGTAAGACGGTCTAAATTTAGATCGGCATGTCGCTGGAAAGAGACCAGTGACTGGTGCTCCTTTAATAGTTTTTCTTATTGGCAATGACTTTACTACAGAAGCACCTAAGTGCCATTCGACTTGACGACTTGTCAAGATAATTATGTTGTCAAGTCGACATAATATACATATCATGTCGACATGGCGACAGTAATAATAATAATAATAATAATAATAATAATAATAATATAATAATAATTTTGACAACATACAATTTTTAGTATGTCGACTTGTCAAGATAATCTATCTCGCCATGACAACATACAACTTTTATTATGTCGACTTGTCAAGATAATCTATCTCGCCATGACAACATACAATTTTTAGTATGTCGACTTGTCAAGATAATCTATCTTGCCATGACAACATACAACTTTTACTATGTCGACTTGTCAAGATAATCTATCTCGCCATGACAACATACAATTTTTACTATGTCGACTTGTCAAGATAATCTATCTCGCCATGACAACATACAATTTTTATTATGTCGATTTGTCAAGATAACCTATCTTGCCATGACAACATACAACTTATATTATGTCGACTTGTCAAGATAATCTATCTCGCCATGACAACATACAATATGTATTATGTCGACTTGTCAGTATTAATCTATCTCTCCATGACAACATACAATTTTTACTATGACGACTTGTCAAGATAATCTATCTCGCCATGTCTACATGATATGTATATTATGTCGACTTGACAACATAAATTATCTTGACAAGCCGTCATGTCGAATGGCACTTAGGTGCTTCCGTACTTTACCACGTCTTATTATCGCCGTTAGTGTTTTTATAAACGATGCTTTAATTGATAAAATAAAGACTCGTAAAACACAATTGATGTTCAATTGCTTTAATACACTTTAAGTTTCTTGTTATGCAATAGAATAAATGAACAAAAGCACTCAAAATTCACATGGATAATAGCTTTAAATAGTTACCTAAAATCGTTTTACGATCGCATGATGACGTCATCTGCCAAACACCGTTCGTAAAATAGAAGGTTCGTATTTGAGAAGTTCGTAATTGGGAAGGTCGACTGCAGTCGACCTTCTAAATTACGTACCCTTTGGTC